ACGCTTTTACGAATATATATTTTATCATGTATGAGCTCAGCTAATCCTATGAATAATGTCTTCAGGTCACGTGGGCATCAGTGAAAGATATACAAATATTCCAATGTTATTCCACCGACCAATAGAAACCTTTCGTTTAGGGTTGAAATTCCTAAATGTTTATAAAAAAGAGTGTGTTTGTGGTCGTGGTAGTAAAAAAATGAAATCACAAAAAATAGGCGCTATTTTGAGAGTATAGTGTACTAAACATATTCTTTTCCCCACAGAATCCAAAGAATGACCGATATTTGAAACCGAATATAATGAGTGGCAAGTATTCAATAGGGGAAGGGGTCAATTTGTTCACCAAATAAGATAGGAAATCCTTGTTGTAAATGGCGAGCAACTTTCCCCACGAAACAAATACGGTTTTATACATTGAAATAAACGGCGTATGCCAGCTGCTACTGTTTAATACAAGGTAGACATTTCTTATCGTGAGAATTACGTGTATTTGTCTGTAGATTGAAAAAAGAAGTGTAAACAAACAGTTCTGGATGCATGTGTACGAGAAAACAATCCGCCCTGTTTGAACCCATTAATTAGAGAACTTTTTGCCCACTGTGATTTATTTATTTATTGCAACCCTGTTGAATCAGGAGTCACTATTTAAATAAATAAATAAATTGGAGTAGCATAATTTACAAATCAAATGCGGCATTACATAACAAATTAAACATTGACAAAAAATGTGTCTGGTTTCCATGTCATTGAAACGGCTTCCTTATCTGATTTGGTGAGCAAAATTTTGCTGACTACTTATCTGACCAGATATATCTTTAAAAAAAATGGATTGTCTTAGGTGTCCAAAAATTCAGTTGGTCAATTTATAAACACCCGGACAATTGGTGGGGATGTAATGCTCAATCCGGTGTTAACCGAGAGCAACGACGGCACGCGATGCATCACTACGATAATTCATCACTCAAAACATTCAATTCTGTGTTTATTCCAGGCGTTGGTGGAGCTGGGACAATGCTGAATACTTTGAGAAAATGGCAAGGCAAGGCAAATGACAAAACGACTTCATTGAAAACCTTTGCAAAAGTGAATATACTATTTATATCATTCATATATATATATATATATAAGTTCATACAAGGGATTCTCTCCGGTACCTCTGCCCGATTATCCACACTTCAACATGTTCGCACAATCAGTTTGACCGTGTGACATGGGGATAATCAGACGGAAGACGTTAAGGTAGAAGCCTATTCATAAATTAAAAAAAAAAAAAAATGTATTCATTTTGCAATAAATTGTACTCCGAGGCAATATAAGGATATTGACCTAAAAAAAGTTGGGGGTCACCAGCCTTTTTTTCGAGAAATTGATGATTGTATTTTTAAAGTGGAAAGTCGCCATTTTGACACTATTATAACGATTTTACCACAGGTTTCTATGGCAGAGATATTATGCAATATCTCGAAATCTAGCCTGGTGACATAGGCTTAAAAAATCATATATTGTTAATGATGGAGTACTTTTTGTTGTTTTGAATTATTTAAAAAATTCGGGGGGGGGGGGGTAAAAAGTGTAAAAAAAAAGCAATTTTTCTTTAACATTGTGTTCTATGGAATTGTTCTAAAAATAGCAATTTTCAAGAAATATTAGGACACGTTTCTCAAAAAGCATAACTGCAACACACAAAATAATGCTTTTCCATTGTTACAGTACCATGAGACATTAGCTTCATCATTGTACATAATAAACTAATGAACATTATCATGTGATTTATGACCAATTTTGTCAAAAATTATGACTAGGCTTCTATGCTTACCAGACGTAATCTGTAACATGGTTCCAACTCGCGCACGTAAAGACTAAAGAAGGCATAATCTGACTCACTGACAGATATTAGTAAATTAAACAGTTTTAAAAAAAATGCTCTTCGATCACTCATTTGATTTCACGACATGTGTATATTTTAAAGGGCGGTGGTCGTCGCGCCACGCATGAGCGAGATATATGGGTCTCATATAAACAAAGATGGCGACTTTGACTGTTCAACGGGTACAACTGAAACTGAGACGTTACCAAGCTTTAATTAGACTTTTGTAGGTGGTTGAAACGTATCGAAGGAGTCGCCGACGGTAATTAGTGCAAGTCGCGCTCGGATACTTGTGATTTCTATTGTGGGAAAATCAATGTTTATCAACACAAATTTCGCACATGCGCAGCGCGACGACTGCCGCGCTTTAATTGAGATTTTCGCACGATTTAATATGAACGAGGATGGACAAAAACGGAGAAATCGATGACGTACTCTGACTAATCACTGAGGTCCTTAAATGAGTTGTCACTTCCCAAACTCACACATTGGTATTTGTTTTTACTTCAATCAGGATAAATACCACATGACAACCATTAAGAAGGAGTGGGACGACTTATCCTCGTATTTACCATTTCCCGTGATAGTTCAAGTAAAGAAAGAAGCCAAACCAGTTTTGCAAAATATCGTGAAAGGTACGCATGGCATCTTGTTTGTCACGTTCCAGTCAGTTGTGACAGTCATGTTATTATCCTTTATTACGTTTACATTGACTGAAAACTGGGTGAATAGACTACGAATTATGACGACACATGATTCTGGACCTGTCTTCTACATCATCTAGTCGCATCATGATACTATTAATGACGTAATATCACTATTTGTTTATGTTCATGATTTACAGAGTATCGGTCGGCATTTGGTCCAGAGCACAAACTAACACTGGAAGCCGAAGCAAAACTTGAACAACTCATAGGCGAGCTAAGTGGTCCGGATGTATGCGTGTAGGACATAGAAATGACCACGGCACATTTATTCGACAGCAAAAAATATTAGTATATTAGTTACATTGAAATATGTAATTAATAATAGACATACTAAAATAGAGAATATATTTTCTAGAATTATATACATAATTACATGTGGTATTAGATTTACTTTGTACGATTTACTACATATTCTTGTCGTTTGTGAACAATAATAGAAGCACAGACGAGTTATTTGCTTGCTTTTTTGTATAAGATATTTCTTTTTATCGAAATAAATTTTAACTAAATACATGTACATGCAGTGTACGATTTTTCATGTCCTGAAATGTATTAATAAAATGGGCACAAGTCATCTGAATACAACACAAAACGTAGTTCAAATTCAAAATCACCTAGTACACAAATCATGATGCAAATAGAACGCAAATGGCCGCCGAAGCCTCGTTGAGCGCGAGAGTGCCGCATGATCATAGTTTGTGTTTATTCTATCCCACCATCACGTCTCCTGCTCCAAACACCATGGTTATATAGATCTGGTGGCTCTATCGCACTCAACAAGATTTCGGCTGTCATATGCGAATACGGTCGTTTTATAAACAAATTAACCGTAGTTGTTTACGTGGTAAAAATGATGGTGATTACTCTAGTGTTTTATTAAAAAGGACACTTGACAATAAAACCAGCATGAAAGCCAGTTGTCCATTTGAAACATGAAAATGAGATAAACATAACCACCAGAAAAATCGGTCCAGTTATGCCTGGAAAACGGTTGATGATAGGGCACGGAAGAACAGAACGAAACGAACAGCATGTTGGTTACTTTGAATGGAATCCCGAAACAAAATAATGTGCATTAGTAACCCACCATGAGTGATGTCAATAGCAAGTTTGAATAAACTCTTGGGAAAAGGTTGGTGACATGTATTATTGTTCTTTGGTGTTTGATAATATGGCAGCCAGTCAAAGTTAACGTACCGATAAACCAAATGTATACAATATTTATTTTCTGAACATAAATGGTATGGGCATGTCCACGGAATTACGTCGGAGGGACGGGCGAAATCCGAAACATAAAGCCGTTCTTAGACTTCATAGGAGTTTCACAGGGAAATCTCTAAATGGTCCCCTTGAGCCAAATGGTCGTCGATTGTAGATCACATCACAAAGATTTTCGAAACTTTAATTTTTTGTTTAACAATTACTTCGGCAACAATATATAGAAAAAAAGATAGGTAAACGAACTAGTCCAATTTGAAGCGAAATTTTAACATCAACGTCAACCGTTTCTCGGACGTGCCTTGGCCAATTTATATAAACTTGATTTGAACATCGCACATGATTGGTTATTGAGACACATTAATCTCATTTCCCTTTTTTCAGCAACAAATTTTGCTGTCAGACGACCACAATATTATGGGACGATAATTGTCGCATTTGTCGTCGACATTTGTGTTCAAACATTGAGAATCCCACAATCGAATGCGCTTTTCTAATGAAATCACGAGTACGAGTTTTGACCTGGGTGCCACTTGCTGACACAATAGCTGTCAAATGGATACATGTTATCAATAGAAAATCAAAAATTGCGGGCATGGTATCAGATTTATTAAAATATATTTTATTAACTATTGTATTATTAATAACTAGATTTATTAAATGCACATGGAAATTACGACACTCGGTTAATAATATTATATCCAGTACTTACAAAATGAGAGAGTACTTTATAAACCCCCACCTTTCTAGATTGTATTTCAGAATGTACCTGTATTGCATTTCAGTGGGGTGATCATGAACCCTTTAAAAAAACCTCATCACGATGAAGAGTGCATTAGTACCGAGAATGGTT